CTGTTGTGATTTCACCCTTTTCATTCTTTATTGCATGAGTTTGAGTCTTTTCTTTCCTTTTCTCATTAAGGTTGGGTAAGGGCTTGTCAATTTTATTTAATCTTTCAAAGAACTAACTCTTCTATTCATTGATTCTTTGTATTGTTTTCTTAGTCTTGATGGCATTAATTTACTATGAGCTAGTGTGATTAAGTGGCATGAGATAACTCAAAAAAGAATCAAGTCAGAGAAATAAAGAAACTATATGCTCTTTCCGTGGTGTGGAATAGGATAAGTTAATCTCTCATATTCTGCATAGTCCTGCTGAGTCCTCTTCCCGGGCAGTTACTTTGGAACTCTGGCCCATGCTGACTCACAATTCCTTTTTTTGTGTGTCTCTTCTGTCTCACATGCTTACAAAAAAATGTCGGTATTTTGCTTTAAGGATTTCACTAGCATTTGATGTTTTCAAGTCTAAGGCACAGTCAGGGTCCTCAGCCCCTTTAGTTTCCTAATTCTTCTTCTTCCAGACGCATGAATTATCTTAATAACCCTGAATGTACCTGTTTCCAAATCTGGTTAATACCTATTTCTTGGATTTATTTATTCATTTAATTATTTATTGGTACTGGGGATTGAGCTTGGGACCTTGTGCTTGTGAGGCAGTCAGAGGAACCGCTGAGCTAAATCCCCGACCCTTGGATTCATTTTTTAATGTCTATGATATTCTTTTTCCTTTTAAGAAATGTTAGCATTGAGTGCTTATGAATGCATGAATTGATAAAGAAAATGTGATATTTTTACATGCTGGAATACTATTGAGTCCTACAAAAGATGAATTTCCATCATTTGCAACTGTATGGGTGAACTGGGCAGATACTAAATTAAGGGAAATCTTGGTACAGGAAAACCCACACAGTAGGATCTCATTCAAGTATGGAATCTAAAAAAGATGATCTCATAATAGTAGATATTAGAATGGTGGTTGTCAGAGATGGTGCAGGGTGGGAAAAGGTTAAGAAGATTCTGTCAAATAATTTAAATTGTGACTATACTTAGCAACAATATATTATATTTTTGAGAAATACTGATAGAGTAGTTTTCATTGTTCTTAGCACCAAAACAGCAGTTAAATGTGAGGCAGTGTGTGTGTAGGCTGGCCTGGATTGATCATTCTCTAATGTGTATGTGTTTCATGATGTCATATTGTCCCTGATAAATATATAGTTATATTTTTCAGTTAAAAAACTCCAATTTAATGAAATAAAATGTGGACCCCATTGTGTCTATGGTCCTGTTGTTCCCTGAAAGTTATGCTCTAAAACAGATGAGACAGGTGGGAGTGGCAATTCCTCAGGTATCTTCTTTATCTTTCCTCCCACTGCCAGAAGGGCACTGGTGTTGCTTAACCCAAAAGCTAGTCTTTAACACTAAGAGTGTCCAAGCAGAGACTGGGATTGATGCTCACCTTTGGACAGGGTAGCTTTTGTTTTGCTTGGGGAGAAGAGTTAGCAAGTTACCAAGAAAGAGAGCTAAGATTCAAACTCAGTTTTCTCTAACTCCAAAGACCCACATTTTAATTCCACTTCTTTGGGACTGTTATTTGACAACCTGCTGATGACAAAAATACTGGCAGGAGGGATGGCAGCTGTATGTGTGTATACCCTTGTCCCTCCCTAAAACACTTACTTGGTAATTCCAGTGGATACAATCTGGAGTCCTTTCCCTCAGAAGGAATTTGCCTTCAAAGCATAGCTCCAAGGACTGAACAGGAAAAAGGAAGACATGAAAATAAAGACATTAACCTTTTCTACACTTTCCCCTAAGCATCTGGAGCAGGTACTTGGCTCCAGGAGTCACTGAAAGTTTCCATCTCTAAGTCCAGTTATTTGTTTGTTTATTTATTTTTCTCTTTTTCTTTCTAATCTTTCCATAAATATTTTTGAGGTAGAAAATCTGTTAGGATAGTTAAATGGACCTACTGGCTAATGAAGAGGTTTATATTAAGGTGGGAAAGAAAGTTATGAAAACAGATGGTTTCTGCTGCTCTCATTATCCCACATGAATTGCACCACCTGGAGATCTCCACAATTCTTGTGAATTAACAATACTTTTCCAGCAAAGTGTTTTGCTAAACAGTGTTGGTGAGCAGAGAATGTTTGTGGTAAAGCAAGGCAAAGCTGTAAGCCATACACAAAACCATACCCTAGGAAGTGTGTGTATGAGTACTCCCCACAGCCCCATGTGATGAGAATAGAGACATTCTTTTTTTGTTTCCAATCTATTTTAGAACCAACATTTAAATATCTAAGTTGGTATTCTCTTGTGTGTATGCATGTGTGTGCATGCGTGTGCATTTGTTTTAGTAGTTCCTTCAAGAAAATAATGTAATCCCCATGCGAAACCTAACTATAAAACAGTTAGTAATTAACTTATTTTCTGTATCGTAATCTGTGCTCAGCTTTGCTCCAATGAAATATACCTTGTATGGGTCAGCTTCTGGGTCTCTGGAACACAATTTAAAAATGGAGAGGTTTATTTGGCTCACGGTTTAGAGCATTCAGTCCATGTCAGTTTATGGCAGTCCAAGGCAGGAACATCATGGCAGAAAGGTGTTGCTCACTTCATAGCAGTCAGAAAGGATAGTAGGAAGTAATGAGTACCAGAGATGAAAGGTTGAGGTGCCAAACATATTCCCCAAGGCTGTGTTCCCATGACCCATCCAGACACACCCAGCAGTATGCTTTACTAAGCTGCTAGGTTCCTTGATCTAGTAAATTTGACCATCATGTTTTAGGTCACATCCATCAATCATTTTTTTGCCCTTAAAAAATGTACTAAAATTACTTCCTTTTCTCTCTTCCTTCTCAGAGAACAAATCACAAGTTTTATTGTAAAGCATTGTGTGTATATGAGCTGAGCTATCTAAGATAGAAACAGTTGGCATCTACTAAATTCATATTGTGTCCCTTGCACTGTTCTCGGTTAGCGACAGTAGTTGCATACATTATTTCATTTAGCTGTCATTATGAGAGTGAATATCATTAACTGAAGAGCTGTCAAGGAAGGAACACAGAGAAGGCTCTCTGTGCACTTACGTTGATGTGGGACGAGGAAAGTAAGTTGGAATACCTGAGTTTGATCTGGTGCCTCCTGTTGCGGTTTGTGTCTAGGTGTCCCCCAAAGCCTCATGTGGTCATTGGTTGGTCTTTTTCAGAGGTGGCTGGTTCAAGAGAGGGTGATACTGGGACTGATTTATGGTGTAATACTAGGATCATGGTGCAATGCTCGGACTAACGGTGTTAGTGCTACCTGCCCTAAGTAACTGGATAAGACAAAAGCATAGAAAAGCTGTGGTCCTTCCCTTTGCTTTGCTATCTTCTGCTCTCAATGAATTATTTCTCCTTTGCAATGCTTGTGTGCCACGCCACCTGCCGTGGAGCCAGCTGATGATGGATTGAAACCTCTACAAGGTGCCAGTTAAATAAACCTTTCCTCCTTTAACTGTGGGTGTTGGGTCTTTTTTTCTCAGCAACAAAAAAAGTAACGAAGACTCCCCCTACATTTTCTCTGTGTGGCTTCTTGTAGTAAGTTAACTGGGTTATTGGGAAGACCAGCGTACTGATCACTCTTTCTGTAGGTGGGACAAAACATCTGATACCTACAAATTAAGGGAAGAGAGCTTTATTTGGCTCATGGTTTAAGAGGATTCGTCCATGGTTGACTGGCTTCAAGCCAGATAAAAGTGATGGAAGAGGATGGAGGAGGAAAGCTGCTCATCCTATAGCAACCAGGAAGAGAAAAGGAAGGGAGGAACCAGGGACAAGACTATGAGGTCACATGCCAGTAATCCATTTCTTCCCCTACCCTCCATCTCCTAACTTGTCATTCAACTGTGAACTCATGGATGGATTAAGCCTCTGATGAATGTTGTTCCCTCGTGATCCAGTCACCTCGCAGAAGACTCACCTCTGAACATCTGAGATTTTGGGGAAGGAGAATGTTAGATCCAAACAGTAGCAACCAGCTAATCTGTGAAGTGTTATGAGGCTATGAAGGGCACGGAAAGAAGGTTCCACCAACAAAAAAAGCAAATTTAAATGAGAAGTTAGAATTTCTTTAGTTAGGACAACACCTTTTATGACATTCTCGTATTGGAAACAAAGATTTTACTAAAAAAAATGAAATAAGCTTTGGGTAAATTGGAAGTGCTATTTTAAATATATAAATTTTAACATTTCAGCTAGTATTAACTATTATTAACTATTCTGTCTTAGGGAATAGTTTAAAAAAAGAATAGTTACAGTATTCTAAGAAACTTCACATTTCTGGAGTGAAGTTACTAAAAAATTTCAACCTGACACTATAATAAATTTACAATTTTGTCATTTCACTTGTGCTGACATTTTGAGATTGAGTTAAAAATTCAGGGCCGTTTTTTAAATTGTTCTATGAACATCATGAGAATATATTTTATATAAGTATTAAAAAGGGATCTGCGGGCCGGGGATTTAGCTCAGTGGTTCTGCTGCCTCCCTCACAAGCACAAGGACCCGAGTGTGATCCCTGGTACCAAAAAAAAGGGGGGGGGATATATTTCCTACTGTTATCTTAGAATGTCCCAAAGTTTCCTTTTTCTTATGCCTAAGAACATAATTCTATATATATTTTTTAAAAAGCCACCAGAACAACATGAACATATATTTCCTTGTTTTACCAGACCTGCATGGTTTCATGGAAGGAGAAGAGAAGAGAGGAGAAGATAGAGGGGAATAGGAGCCAAAATGGAAGCGACAACCAAGGTGGTCCCGGCCTGGCGAAGTAAAGGGATAGTGTCTTGGCTTATTCATCTATTCACTAGAAAGCTTGTGTGATTTGCATTTTGGAATCTTTAGTCTTTTTAAATTTACTTCCAAATAATTTGTTTCTACATTATGCTGCTCTCTTTGTAGAGAACAATACATGATGATCGTGAAGTAAAATGAAGTAACACTGCATTCTACAAAGAGAATTTCAGAATAAAAAGCGTTAAGGATGAATGGTGTGCACTATGGAGTTCTCTGCCATATTTTTGATGGTACTGTTCTACCAAGCTCATTTATGAAATTCATAGACACTACTTTACCTAAGTGGAGTGATAATGCTTTGAAGCCAAAGAAAATAATAGAAATGTAGTAAACACAAAAGCCACATTAATAATCATTCCTGTGACCCTGATTTCTGTCTTTTCTTTTACATTGTCTTTTAAGAGTTAAATCCAAATGGCTGTTTTAGTCGTATAGTCATTAGTCAATCTCAACAGAAGTTTGGCTGTATCAGTTCTTCGAGTAGACGGTTCTTTTCCTAATTCAAAGGAAAGAAATGTGGCACAGCAGAAAATGCTATAACCAAAGACTTCTTCTAAGATGCATTCATGGTATGCAAAATATATCTTAATAACATTTCCCATACAAGAGTAACTATTTAATCTCCCTGTAGTGAAAGGAGAGTGATAAAGATATATCAATTAGGTCCTTAAGTATTAACAAATGTCATTTTCCTAAACAATCTGGACCCTTGGTTCTTAAACAAGAACCAAGACCTGCCTTACATGAACTGACTTGGTTACTAACATTTTCTGCTATTTAAAGTAAAATACTCTGTGTATTTTGTTAGTGAGTGACTCTAATCGTTTTGTGGAGATAAAGACCCACACATTTATATTTGCAATTTAATTTCAAAGACTGAAAATGGTGCTCATCAGTGTCACATATATTTTTGCACAAAATGTAGTTGTTTTAGAAAGAAAATACTCATGGAGTAGATAAGACAAAAGATTCTAGAAATAGAGAGTCGGGCAGTGACCATAAGCTATTAATAGCAAACCCCTTTCTACTTGAGAAGAGGATGTCGTGGCACTTGGGGCCCCTGGAACTTGACAAGACCTCAAGAAAGGAAGGGTCGAATCATTGTAAAAATTCAGCTTCTGTTCTCATAGATGGTCTTTCAAGGTGATTTGTGAGGAACTTTCACTTCAGTTCTCAGCATTATTTAATCTTGGCTCCAGTCCAGAGAAGATCATCTTGAGATATTCATGAGGACAAAAGCCGAATTCAGTGCAAAATAATTTAACCCCTGCAGCACTCTGTCTTCCACATGCAGTATCCACAGGGACCTGGTTCTTTTCCCCTGTCAGGTATGAAAATGCATTGACTCATGTTCTCTCACTGTGGACCATTTTGTTTGTGCGAAGCACCATCAATGAGCCACTGTAAAAATAACGTGACAGAGGTTATTGTTTGTGGTAAAACTGATAATAACCCATTAAAATTAATCACTCTGCAATGGTGACTGTTTGATGAGAGTTCTGTCCTGCCTGCTCAGTTCAGGTCTGGATTGAGTTGGCAGATTTGACTATGGATTTTTAATCATAGAGAAATCTGCTTTACACATTCATCTCATTTTTCCTTTTCTTCATTTTGGTTTCCCTGAATACCGTCTCATAGACTCCATGTCAATAGGTGACACTGTAGGACACTAGGTGTGGGACTGGGCCTTTGTCCAGAGGTGAAGGGGAGAAGGCTGCAGCGTGGACTCAAAGAGGAGGTTAGTCATCAACCAGGTGGAATTCTGTGACTTTGATCAAATTACAGAGCTTCTGTGATAAATGGGTAAAATTATGTAAGAACAGAATGATACATGTACATCACCTATTATGGTGTATAGCATTTTTCAAGCACTCACTTCATGACGCTTGATGATTTCTTGAAAGAGGATTACTGTTGAAGAATGGGTAAACTTGTTGGAGAGTAGGTGTGTGTGGAGTTTTCCAGATGAAATGATTTGAATCTAAAGAATATAATCAGGGCCAGGGATGAGGGTGAACGAGATCATAAATCACAAGTATATTAAAGAACTTACTGTGTTTCGGATGCTTTGGTAGCACAAAGGAAAACGTACAAGAGGAAGCTGGAGAACATCAAACTTAACTTGCATCTGATTACAAATCTTCCCCATTCCTTTGCACAATTCTCTGTGTCTAAAATAATCTGAGGTGTACCTCTAGAAGCAATGTGCTCATCTATTACTTGGATTAAAAAGGCCCATTTTGATAATTACAGTGACTCACTGTATTTTCTGGAAAATGTGCTACTAAGGAAAACTAATGAGCTGTTCTTTCCTTGTCATCCTTATCCTCTTTCAGCATCCTGTGATAGAGGCAATGGCCATGTAAAAGCTTCTATGTATTTCTCTGCTGAAGTGAGCCCGAAAAGAAAAGAATCCTTTTGTAAAGCTGGGGCCTAACATTATCATTACATAGTTGAAAAGTTTTTGAATGAATAAATGAATCTCCAGACCAAGCCCAGAGTTTTTATGAGCAGAATCAAAAGCATAATTGTCGAGGACTTTTTGTTAGAAACATTAGTGCTATTTTGCTAAGCTCTGAAATGCTTAAAGTATTGCATAATAAAAATGATTACTCCAAAAAATGGTGATGTTTTGGAGAAAAGTGAAGTGTATATTCCTTGCTGGCAGTATTATTAATTGACAAATCCTTTCAAAGCTATGGCTGTCCGTAGGAAAACCACAGAAATTCATGTCTATTGCCTTAGAAGTCTCTTATGCAAAGACTTGAATGAACACACTGAAAAAAGCCAAACACAAACATTTTCATTGCAATCAATTTTAACAAGAAAAAGTTAGAGACAACTATGAAAAATAATGATTTTATAGATTATGAGATGTCAATAGTTTAATATGAAGCTGTAAGAGTAATAAGTAGAAACATCAAGTTATGAGAAAATACAAGTAAAAATATTGAAATATAGCATTATTACATTATAAATACAATATGCATATAAGTGTTAGGCATATACAAAAATAGTAGTTTCAGTTTTTATTGCCAAAAAGGAATAAGTGATTTTTACATAATAACAATTATATATCATATATTACATTTTAAGCCACCTCTAAAATTTTCCCTAAGAATGTGGACACAATTATGTGTTTTTCCTTTGATAATTCCCTGCTCTTGAAGGGCCTGAGACTCATCATTGGTTTCTCTTGACATCTCTTTAGTGCTGGAATTTTGGAATACACAGATGAACACCAGATTAAATGCATATAATATTGACCTCAGGTTGTACACCTTGAAGGTTGTTTTAAAAAATCCTGACTATACATTCATTTTCTTACATACTTTGTTGTATGTGCTGAAAGTCAGTATGTACCCCTGATAGGCGTCCTTACTAATCTGGAGTCAGGACAGTGTAAGAAAAAGGAACTCTCGGCTGAGGCTTTGGTCCTGCTGATTTTACAGAGAGAACTCAGAGAGGAGGAGGTGGTGCTGAGGACAGGGACACAATGAGAGTTAGTGGTGGAGCCAGGACTGACATTTACATGTCTGAGTAAGTTCAGAACTCGTCCATTCCTCTCATCTTCAGGGCTGTTTCCGTCCCCCTGAAATAAGCTGTCAGCTTCTTTTCAGCCGCTTGGCCTGTGAAGGCTTTCCTCTGTCTACAGCATCACATACCCGATTGATTCAGCCCCATGTTGAAGGAAAACAGGAGTTTCCAGCCTAGAAAGCAGTTTCTACTTCGTGTGCAGTCACACAGACTTAGGAGGTGCATGGCTCTAGGTAGTCTTATCTGCATGTTCTCATTGGTTCATCTCAAAAACCTGGAGTTTTGTTCTTAATCTGCAGTTCAGTTGTCCAATTCCTTGTTGTCTGGGGCAAGCTGATTATGGGACTGCTCATAAATATCAAAACTTCTGGTCTCAAGTCTCTTATTTAAAGTGCTGCAGTATAGGCATATAACCCAGACAACCTGATCTTATACTTTAAACCATCTTCAGCTCCTAGAGTACCCATTACAATGTAAATACTATGTAAATAGCTGTTGTGCTGTATAGTTTAGGGAAAAATGACAAGAAGGAAATGCCCGTACATGTTCAGCACAGAAACAATTTAAAAATTTTAGATCGGAGGTCGGCCGAGTGCAGGGCTGTGTGCAGGATGTGGCAGGCCACATGTGTTGTGTTCACCCAGCTACCATCAGCCCTGTCTGTCACAACAGGCTTCCTGCGGCTCCCTCCCCTCCATCTGCGTGGGCAGGAGCCCTGGTCACAGCAAACGGCTCCCACTGGGGTGGCTTCCAAAAACCAACAAAAGCAAATTAGTGTTCCTGATTTGTTTCAGAAACAAACAGCAAAGAAGCCTCTCCAAAAATGCTTTACAAAACAAACAAGGGAGAAAATGAAGAGCTTCAAAGGAGAACCTACCACTGCTCCTGAAGGGGGACCTAGGAGAAGACTGTAGAGGTACCTTCTTTGTGGAGACCTGATTGTCCACCAGCTCAGGCAGGGGAATTAGGCAGCAGTGGGGTTACATTCACTTGAGGGTCCTATGGAGCCATCCTTGAGAGAACATTTAAAAAATACAGCCCTTTGGTTTAATGAATGTGGTAAAACGAACATAATGATTACGTTCTTCCCTCCATTGCTGTGTAGTTTCCCAGCTAGACAGCACTGAAACGTGTCCTCTTTTGCTCTTTGTGCTTGACCGTCTGCTTTCCTGTGTCAGTATGGCTGAGAAGCCCTCCTACCGCATTCCCCACTTACAGCGTTGTGGAACAACTTAGAATTCTTATCGCCAGAGCAGTGGGTCTTTAGAAAACACTTCTGAGTCTTTTGAAAAACCGTGATGGTGTTGTCTTCTTGGAACATTCACCCAGAAACTCAGTAAATGTTACTGAACACCTCTTGTGAGCAGGCCCTATTGTAGCCATCTTGGAAAGTCCAGAGCTGAGCAATGCTCTTGTCCTCAAGGATTTCTCAGTGTGTGGTAGGGATGAGTTAGCTAGTCTATCTGTCCTTCCTTTTTGCTCCATGCAGTTGGATCTTTGATGAATGTCAGTCCTCCAAGAGAGACAGGATCTAGACCAGGGGCTCTCAGACACATGTCCTTGAGACAGGAGCTCCGGAATATCTGTTGGGCTGGCTTGCTTGCTTGCTTGCTTGCTTGCTTGCTTGCTTGCTTGCTTTCTTTCTTTCTTTCTTTCTTTCTTTCTTTTCTTTCTTTTCTTTCTTTTCTTTCTTTTCTTTCTTTTCTTTCTTTTCTTTCTTTCTTTTGTACCGGGGATCAAACTCTGGACCTTGTGCTTGTGAGGCAGACAGTGGAACCACTGAGCTAAATCCCTGGCCTTGTGCTTTTAGAAACTACTTAACCTCGTACCAGATCAGACTGTCATGGGAAGAGGACTAAGATGCCTATTTTAAAGATGCTGTCTGGGTAATTCTGATATTTCACCAGGTTGTGAAATCAACGCTGGAGCTGTCAATTTGGGACACTAGGGAGAGACCCTGGACACAGATACACTAAATGACCCTTGCAGGGTAATTGTTAAAGATTCCATGGATTGAAATCCTGCCTCTGCCAAGTATAGCTGAGATTTGGACATTTTAATATTTAACTAGTCTTTAGTTCCCACATTGTTTTCTTTGAGAAAAATCATATTACTTTGTAGGACTGTGATACAGGTTAAATGAATGTACATATTTCAAGCATTTAGAACAGTGTCAGAGATATTGAAAGCAACCAATAAATATTATCAAAAATTATTAACATTATTATGATAAGGAAGTACGTGCTTAATATCTGTGAAAACACAGGTGAGAGACATGGGTTCATTGTTTAACTTCCCAGAATAAATAGATCAAAATACTCCTGATATACAAGACTGTAAACACCAGGTGAGTTTTGACTGTGTTTCCTTAGAGGTTTGTAGGCTTGCTAGAGTTCTCATCCATAGAGTAGTGTTTTGTGCTTTTGTTCTCAGGAGACAGGTAATATTCCTTGCCAGTGTGCTCATGCTGTTCTATACCCAATGCTATCCTTTCTGTTTCTTCAGTTCAGTGTCTTAGGCACAATAGAACTTATAAATCATAGAAGAAGCATTAAACACTTTTAAGACATTAACAGTCTTCAACTGTCCATTTTTCATCATGGCCTTAAGAGGGCCCAGAAGTAATATTAATGTTCAGTTATATTTCAGACAATCAATAACCTTTCTGCTTCTAACTGGGCGGAAGATGTTGTGGACCGTAGGAAGTACTGTGGCATCGGATTTGGAGGACTGAGTTTTCGCTCCTGGATGCTTGGTGGCTTTAGGCGTGTTGTGTCATAGCTCTGGGCTTAATGACTTCACTTACAAATAAATAAGTCTGGGTTGACTGCTAGGTATGAGTTTCAATCATTCTGCCCCTTGTCTAAATTTGAGTTGTACAGAAGCAAGAACTTCTGCTTAGAAGAAGGAGTCTAGTTGGTCAATTTTTAGGGCTACAGTTGGAGACTTTGGAGGTTTCTTGTTGTTCCTTGAAATGCCAGTAGTCTTCTGTGGTAGAAGGGACCAAAGCTTTCACAGTGTTTCCAACAGGTAGAATCATCTAGCGCTTCCCTATCACCTGTATAGGACAGGGATGTAGAACCTTTTAGAGACGAGTGCCCAAACTGCAACCCAGAGAGCCAACTTATTTACCGCACAGGGCCAGCAGTGCAATGAAACATGAACACTGAGGTTTTAGTTTAGAAAAAAACAACTCTACATTAACATCTTTTGTCTCAAAAGAGAAACAAATAACACATGTGCCATACATTCACCACCACTGGTAGAGAATATCAGTGCAACAAAATATTAATGAGTAACTAAGAAAAATATTTCCATGATAAAGATCGACACACAGTGTGTTGATTTCAAATTGGTTCTTTTTTGATTACTCAAAATATATAATAGGTGAGTGTATGCTGAATTGCCAGTAGGAAAATATAGTACGAAATGCTTCCAAAATATTTTGATTGCAGAACTTGCAATTTCAAGAAATACTTCAAGAGATTAGCATTGCATAGAATAGTGTTCTTCAAACGCAAGAGAGTCTTTACCACTTTTTGGCTTTAAAACACAAGTCAACAACATAATAAGCAAGTTTTCTATTTGAGTTTCAATGAGGAAACATAACTTGTGGAATTCCCTGAAAAGAGCAATTTTGAAATCTATTTATCCACTACTAAACTATAACATCCTTCCAGTCCGACAGTCCCAGGAGCAATGCACATTTTCTGGGTATTTCACTTGAGAGTTTATACAAATGTGAGATGTGAGAAGAAATCTGAAACCTAAGTTATTTCTTGGTCCCTAGTGCTTTTCAAGTCTGTGTGCTGATCCTAAGCTACTGGGCTCGACTTCGTGACACCCAGTTTCCCAAAGATTGTCTCTGCTGACCTGGTCCTTGTGGACAGAAAGAGAAAGATTGAGATTCCTGCTCCTGGTTGATTCTTTGGGCCACAGGAGGCATTGGGAAGGGTTCCTCAAGCCCTTAGAGGGAAGGGCTGGCGATGTTTGTTCCATTGTGACTGTTAGGGTTTGTCCTGAATGAAAGACAGCCTGCTACATGTTCTTTCTTTATTTAAAGAAAAGTTCAGAAGATGTTTATTTGTACATAATGATTGTGTTTATTGTGGGGAGTTGGTACAGGTACGTTCACATCATCATTCTTTTTACTTCCCCTTCGCTCTTCCTTCTGCATTTCTTCTATCTCTTGGTCCTCTTCGCATTTGCAGATCTGTTTTCCTTTTTATTTCTACTTTGGGCTTCTCATGTAAGAGAAACCATATGACACTTAAGCTTATGTGTCTTTGTTTCACTTACCATTATGGTCTCAAGGTGCATCCATCTTCCTATAAATGGCTCAATTTATCCTTCTTTATGGCAGAGTAGTTCTCCCTTGTGTATAAATGCCACCTTTCTTCTTGATGACACTCAGCAACAGCAGATGGGTGGGGTTTGGGACTACAAAATGAGACAAAGTCTTCCCTTATGGTGGATAGCTTGTTTCTGGAAGAAAGTTGTCTGTGCACCCTGTGACATTATTTCAAACCGAGATGTTTCAAGTGTAGTTAACTTAATAAATTTTGCACCACATTCTTAAAGGAAGGGTTCGTGCATTTGACTGTATCCAGACTTCAGTAGAAACCTGAATGTGTTTCATATCGTTCATCGAAGCTGGGATTTCTTTTTTTGGTACATTTGCTCATTTCCAGTTTGATTTTGAATCCAGGAGAACATACAAAAGAGAACAGGGTTCCTGAAAGTTGGTACAAGTAAGCAGAGGCTGTTCTGTGGCTTCCTCTTCTGTGGAGATGCAAGCTGGGATCTTTTAGAATACCCACACTTGGCCTCTTGGTATGGTTTGACCAAGTTAAGTATTCAGAACAGGGTTCATCTGCTTTGGAAAGAGGCCTACTTACTTGGCAGTGTAAATTTGCTGAAAAACATGTCAGCACAGTTAAGCATTTCATCAATACTATAATACTAATGATCATTTAAAAATAACTTATAAACAATATTGTGCATTTTTCTTTTAATAAAGTGAAGGAGAAAAACAGAAGTGACCATGATGCCAGGCATTTAAAAATATGTATATAATCAGGAAACTTGAGTTGTCTTATAAGTACAGAAGAAAACATAAATGTCTTGCCACCCCATCGTGCTCAGAGGTAAACTCTGTGTATGTGTGCAATGCCTGATGATGATGATGATGATGATGATGATATTAAATACCATCATTCATTCATCACTCATTTCATGTATTTCTAATCTATCAAATTGAAAATCATTCACATACAGTTTTCTTAAGAAAATCCTAGCACACATACACTCAAACACCTGCCTGTATTCATATAACTATATATCTTGGGTCTCTGCCTTGCTTATATTTATGGATTTACTTCATTCTCCTTAAAGGATAGATACTATTCTGACACAAAGTTGATTGTATAAATTATTCAGTCAATTTTTAACATTACCTTCTGCACAAATAAGAGTGTGTTTTTCTGACCTTACTTTAATCTATTGATAAGACAAACAGCGTATTTCCAAGGATGTATATCTTTGTATTGAAAACTGTAAAATATTTAGTTATATACATCTAATTTAAAAATCTTGAAATGTTTCTTGGCTAAGTATTCCTTAGCACAAATGATACAGTATCTAAAAGTCAGAACTGGCAGTTATTCTACTAAAGCCATTTTTATATATGATTTGAAATAGAAACTTTCTTTTTCTGATTTGACCTTGCATCAGAGACTAAAATCTTTGGCCAAATTTTCTTATAATCACAATTTAATATTGTAGCCTGATACTCAAAGACGTGACTAATACATTAATCATCCTTTTGTTGCTGGGCCAGAATACGTGACACTCACAA